CAGCCACCCACGTAAACAGGTAAAGCACACAAACACTCAAAGCACTCCAAAAAAACAATCCCAAACAATCGCTGCAGCTCAACACCACTCTCTCGCAGCAATCGCAGCAATCCCAGCAATCCTCGCAGCAATCCCAGCAATCCCCTAGTTAAATTTTAGTTAAAATGTTAAGATTTTTTTATACTGCAACAGGTAATCTCTCCTGTGAACCCCTCATTGAAAAATGGCGACTGGCCCAGGAAGTGTCAGTGGCGGTGGACAGCGTTCTCCACTCACCTACATTAGACGCTCCGCCCTTCTGGCTGATGTTCTCGATGGCGGCAGACAGATCTCTCGAGCTGGTGTACGCCTTCAGGTCAAACTCAGTCTCAGGGTTATCTCTGCCACCCCCCCCACGAAAAAAAGTTATGTGGTCAATTTCCAGTGGCATTTCCAGCTTGCTCAGCTGCTGCAGACTCACTTAAGAAGCAGCCCAGCCAGCCTCACAGACTAGGCTGACTCCTGCTGACCACCTGTAAGACCGTAAGACCACAGTGACATGAATTCTAAAAGTTATCGGGAGTGAGTGAAGGATGTAGACAAATGTCTTGAAAGAACATGCATTTCAGCCTCGTTTTTATCAATCGGAACTTTGCCACCAGTGATATCTATTACTAAAATAGGCCACAAACGTGACCTGATGCCTGAGGAGTGTCAAGGAAATATCTATACTTTCTCCTTGGAGAGGAGCTATTTTTCACAAGGTTATGGGGTTACCCATCATCGACAGGATTAGACGTGTTGCCAAGGCTTTCTGTAAATCGGCGCCGGCTCCTTGTGCAAGCCGAAGGGAAGAACATCCAACTCTTTCTATCCATGCGCGAGCTGGTCGTCTGCACCGCTCAGGTGTTGCTAATCTGGGACATGTCAGCTTTATCTCCTCTTTGCTTCTCCGTTTGCATGGCATTGCATGTCAGGGGCAGGTCGAAGCAGCGACAAAGCATGGCATTCTCACACTTTGACTTTTACTGCCTAGATAGATACTGTATGTTGCAACTTCTTGCAATCTACCAGTACAGCACAGTACCGTGTAGTAGTCACCGTGTCACATAGGCCATACACCTTTTATATATCATATGTAGTGTTGAGTCTGTGACAAGTGAATTAGTCATGTTCATCATTTAAAAATGTATTTGAACATAAAAGGAATTGTCACAGTTACCCAAACTGGATGATACCCATCAAGGGTCCAGAAGCCCCAACGTCAATGGTCTCTGCCACTTTGGCCAGGAAGTCCTTCTGGATCCGAAAGCGACGTCTCCCAATGCTCCAGCTGCCATCCATCAGAAAGGCGATGTCCACTTTGCAGTCTGAAAGGCCAGTAGCAACTCTATTAGGTTCACAGTATATTACACTTTGATCTGTAAACTTTGGACACTATAATTTGTGAAAATCCCAGAAAGGTGGCTGTTTCTGACTGGTGGAATCCTTGTGTCCAGAACCGACAATCACACCACATTCAAAATCACTTAGATCACACATCGCAGTTGTTCTAAAGCTTAGACAAAGAGGAACTATACCCTATGTACTGTAGGTATTCACTTACAAGACGGCTTTACCATATCAGCAACATCCTGTGTTTATAATACAGATGTTTAAAGAGACTTCCACAAGCTTTGATCATCTTTGCTGTAATCACGATTCGGATGGCACAGGGTACAAAGACAGAGTAGCACGTGGTTCTAATTAGTGTCGCTCAAAGGACGTTAGTAAACCAGCTTTCAAAAGTAACCATAAGACATACTTGGGTCTCCTGAAGGACCGGGCTCTGGATCTTTGGGGAGTAGGGCTTGCTGTTGTTCTGTGAAGCCTGGGGAAGACATCAAAGGAGTAAAAAAAAGAAAACTGAGACATAAATAACACCTTGTGCCACATCAGTGTTGCCAAGGCGTCATGCTCAGTTGACGTACCCGTGCATAGTTACCATGCTATGTCAACTAAACATAAAATAGCAATGGAGAAACTTGGTTTGGGTGGAAAAAAGTGACAAATTACAAGTTACAAGGCATGATTGCTGCATATTTCTCAGTGCCGGGGCCTCTGCTTGCCCAAGAGCTGCTTGTACATCAACACATGTGTGAACATAAAGCATGCAAACTCACACATTCAGGTTCCTCTAAGGATGTTATTTTCCCTTCCACAGTAAGTGTCTGAGTGATTTAATGGGGGTTAGAGGTGGGAGACTATAATTATGTCTGGGTGTGAATCTGCCAATTAACATTTGTACCATATTTTTGAAATTCTATGTCACAAACCAACTTTAACCAAGACATTTTTTTTTGCTGAAGGTCTATGTTTGTACTGCAAAAACTATAAAGAAGGCAGGTATACACTGTCAAAAGGATGTACTAATCCAAAAGCTGCTGTCATAGTAACTCAAGAAAACTGAAATAAATGTTATGTAGGTTTTGTTATTCAAAGTAAAAATCCATTTTCCAAAACCGTTCATCCTATTCAGGGTCACGGGGGCAGGGAACAACCCAGGATGGGGGGGCCACCGATTACAGGGCACACACACACACCTACCCGCTATTTAGTAACTCCAATTAGCCTCGGTATGTTTTTGGACTGTGCGGGGGAAACCGCAGTACCCAGAGGAAACTCCACGACGACACAGGGAGAACATGCAAACTCCACAGACAGACACGGGGAGAACATGCAAACTCCACAGACAGACACGGGGAGAACATGCAAACTCCACAGACAGACACGGGGAGAACATGCAAACTCCACAGACAGACATGGGGAGAACATGCAAACTCCACAGACAGACACTCGAACCCAGTGCTAACCACTGCACCACCATACCATCCTCAAAGTAAGCAATCTGCGTAAATTGTTTTAGTGAAATACACACTTCACAAACATCCAATCATTTTCTTAATACTATTCCAAAAACCCAATGATACGTAATTTCTAATGAATGTATGCTCAACAAAACCTGTTTATATTATTTGTTGAAACAAGGAAAGTTATATAGAAGATATTTGGCCAAGGGGAAGTTCCAACTGAACAGTGTTTCATCCACAGGGATAGATTATTGCCGAGAAAACTAGCCTAGCTGGATGTGATATCCTTCCTTTTGGCTTCCCAGTACCAAAGCACACAAATGTCCCCAGTAACATTTACATTTTCCCATTACTACAACCACTGCTACAACTAAGACTAATATTACACAAACAAACAAAGGGCATGGCAGGGCAGTGGGTAATGCTGTTGCCTTACACCTCAAAGGGCATTGGGTCAAGGTTGGGTGGTGTGTTCACAGCGCAGTACGTATAGTGCTTTTATAAAATAAAATTTTGTTAGAAACCTTTCTTTCAACATTTCAGCATTGCATTAAAAGGATGGCAGGTAATGTTATCATCAGTGGTGTCTGAAGGAGTTTGACATGGGGGGGGGGGCAAAAATGTGTCCTAGTGGCGGAGGAGGGCAAAGTATGTCATGACACTGCATTGGGACGCATGCAATAGTCACATTGTGAAAATAATTGACGTAAGAAAGATCTTTGTTAGGTATATACAGTCTTCGTTAGGTATATACAGTCTTCGTTAGGTACATATTTTGTCTTCTCACCCGGCATGTGCAGTGAATTGGCCTCAGTAATGCGCTGATTCATAATGAAAGATAAGGATATTTATTTATTTATTTGGGGGGAGGGGTGTCGATTTGAGGACAGCGTCCCCCCATCCCCCTATTCCCGACACCCATGGTATTCATGGCCATAGCCAGACACAACTCAGTTTGATTCTCTAAATACTGCTTCTTTGTTCTCTAAGGCGTACAACCATGTGCATCTAGCTCATCATCCGTGTTAGTCTTTCCTCTCCTAGGTTCCTGACTGGGGGTTTCTGACGCTGTTATGACAGACCTCTTACCTCCAGAATATGTGTGTCACGGAAGAATCTGAGGCTGTCATCTTCCAACTTGGGAGCTGCAAATAGGCAGCAGGAGGCGACAGAGCTGCTCCCTCCCACAGCCCTAAGCTCACGGATGATGAGAAAACGGCGGCAATGCTGAGGCTCGACAGCGTTTGAGGGTGAGACACCCTCCCGCCGCTGCTGAAGCGGGCTTATGGGTACCACTGTGAACTGCACCCACCGCGTGTTTATTTCTGAACACCAACCTCCAACAGTACCCTCTGCTGCAAGACACTAACTAATTTACCACGTCTAGCAATGTCAGTAAAGTTAGTAAAGGAAGTAACTTGGTAAGAAAAGTTAATGGGAACCAAAGCTGGCATTCTTGACCTATAAGTTCCTTTTGTCTTGAGTCCCTACTGTGGCTGGCTGGAGGTAATCCCGATTATGTACCATATGTCATCATAAAATTACACATTTATTCAAGGGTGTTGGGGTCTTTTATGGAGGGTAAATATCAATCGATAAATGTCTTATACATCTCTACAGCTCCAATCCAGGGACACAATATTTCACTTACCGTGCTGTTCGAAGTAAATAAGCTCTCAAATAAACTCTCATGCTCCGATATAATAGATCTGGGGATATGAACTGTAGGGGGGGATTGGTGGTGCAGTGGTTAGCACTGTTAGCACTGGGACTAGGGTTTGAGTCTCCGCCTGGGTTACATGTGTGTGGAGTTTGCATGTTCTCCCCATGTCGTCGTGGGGTTTCCTCTGGGTGCTCCGGTTTCCCCCCACAGTCCAAAGACATGCTGAGGCTGACTGGGGTTACTAAAATCGCCCATAAGTGTGCATGTGTGAGTGAATGGTGTGTGAGTGTGTCCTGCCATGGGCTGGTCCCCTGTCCTGGGGTTTTCCCCGCCTCATGCCCATGGCTTCCGTGATAGGCTCCGGACCCCCCTCTACCCAGTAGGATAAGCGGTTTGGAAAATGGCTGGATGGATAAGGACTGTAGCAAATTTTCATTGATACCATCACTGCAGTGGCAATGCTGTCACCTAGTAATGGTCTAATGCTCATAAAAGGCATCAAACACTTTGATTTACATCCCTCGAAAGGTAATCTCATTACAAGGCCTTTATCAGGGTTAATGGAAATGGAACTGTATATAAAGCACTTCCCCTCACAGGAATCTCGAGCTCATTTTCCCCACTATGTATAAAACTATTGCAAATGCAATTAAAAACCAGTTTGTGCCGCAAGATCGGGTCTTGCTCTCAAAACGCCTGCTCACCATCTCTCTCCAGCATCCTGGCTCCTTTCCATGTGTACGAAGACTCAGGAACGGGGTGAATGGCATCTGAATACCAAGACAATGCAATGAGCCAGTCCCCCAGAAACACCATTCAGGTCTCGCTTTGTGTTTTCAAGATTAAATTGTTTCGATTATTATTTATGGTTCATCCTCAGTTTAGTATCATTATCTGTTAATTAAATGTGATTATTTTAGAAAACAGCACACAAAATATGAAGCCTTTGAGGTCAAAAAATAGACAACGTGTTATATTCTGTCAAAATTCAGAAATTAATGTGGTTTAATTTAGGATTCAATTACCTTATTCAGTTAATTTCATGATTATTTTCTGAAAAGAACAGTTCATTTGAGTAACTCAGTCCGGCCTGTATTTATTCTGAATGATTAATTTACACACGGTATCTATAACGCATTTTTTTTAAATCATCACCTCTGATACCTGATGTCTGTCTAGACCAGGCCTGCCAGTCAGAGTGTGGGTAGGCAGCGGGAGGCCGATCTCTCCCCGGGAAAGCTGTGGGAAGGGATTAAGGAGTGCCTCAGGGACTCAAAGCAGGACCGATGTCAATGTCAGCGGGGTAAGTGGCAGCCTGTCACCACCACACACAGAACCCCGGTGCGTCTGGGCTGCCAAGCCGGGGAAATAAAAGCACTCAGCAACAGGCTTCGAAGTTTGACTTGGACTACAGCTTCTAGCTGACACAACAGTAGGAGAGAGTCAGGTCGTATGTTCGCAGGGGTACCAACCATTGACTCCCACATAAATACAGTCCGCCATGAATTACTGTGAACTGACGTCAGGTAGGTAAAGACTCATGCTGATTCCATGACTAATAATACCAGGTTATTTCCTTGTTTTTTAACTGAACATAAATCCACTTTTTCCATCATGGTGTGCCCCTATATAACCATTTTGTAGTGATTGCTTTATGTAACTGCTTTTGAAGCACATTCTTCCCAAAACATACGGCCTTAGGCTCAGACATGGTGTCCCAATAAAGGATGTAAAAGAATTTAAAAGGGTAAAAGAATAAAGCAAAGCTGGTCGACTTCCCTCCGCCCCGATAAAACCTCCTAAGCAGTCCTCAGAAGCCCCAATACTCATTGTGACCAGGGAGATCCGACTGTCACCCTCAGACAAATTCTAACCAAGAGTATTACATAACTAATTTTAAATGGTAAAGTTTTGGGAAATAAAACAATGTGTTTGACTGGAACAGTACACTGAACTGTAAAAGTATGTACAGTATATGTATATACAAGTATGAACTGTATAAGTATGTTTAAACTGTATAAAGTATGTATAATTATAAGTATGAACTGTATGAACTTCGTAAGTTCTTAACCTCAATAAGTAAGAATATAAATATCTCTGAATAATAACGGTATCCTGGGACCACGGCAATAGCAAAGTATTCCGGTTACCCCCATGCCTTGTGCCACACTGCGATTATGTGCGATATGCAGACGTTAAGGTAATGTAGTGTGATTAAATCTGTGTGATTGTGCATTAAAGTTGTAAATAATAGGTGCTGCCAGCAGTTAAAGTTGCACTGTAGCATGCATGCCTACTGAGTGTGAGTTTAAAATGTCAATTGTCTGGCTGCTGCTGGTTATTTATGGCAGTTTGCTGTTAATAAACACAGAACTTCTGTTCCTTCCTATAAAGAGCTGCCTGCTCTTCATTATTAAAACCATGACCCACCCACATCTATGGGGCCCCGTTTGTAAAGTTACGAAACATTTTTGTACTTGCCACTTTTTCAACATTTAGTGCAATTTTCTGACATTTAGCTAGAAGTCAATGGTGTTGTGGATCATCATATTTTTTGCTGTGTAGATTATCTGCACAATTGTTCATCATATGTAAATAAAAATGGTATGTCTATATATAAATATTAAATGTAAATGTCAAATATAAATGTCAAATGTAAACGTAAATATTAAAGTTAAATGTAAATATAAATGTTAAATATAAATGTTAAATGTTAACTTATATATAAATGTTAAATGTAAACATTTAACATGATATGATGATCCACAATACCATTGACTTTTAGCTAAATGTCAGAAAATTGCACTAAATGTTGAAAAAGTGGCAAGTACAAAAATGTTTCGTAACTTTACAAACGGGGCCCCATACACATCCTGTTACAGTATTATTTATTATTGCCCTTTTGGAATAGTTTTCCTTCGGAAAACTGAGTAACGAAATATATCTCCCAATCTGCAGACTTTTAAAAGATCCTTTTGTAAAATACTGTTCTCTCATTAGTTTTACCGATGGTTAAGCATACACCTGCCTTAGGTATATCTACTGTATGATATGAAGGTATAAATCATACCTTGATGCTCTCTGGTTACTTGCGGAAAGGTTTAGGCTGGGATTATGGATGAAATTAGGCCAGTTACATCACGGGGACCTTGCTAGGTGGTACCACTAGGGGGAGTGTTTCCTTTCATGCCTAGTATGACCTTGAGATCTGAGGGTAATGCTCCCCCAGCATCCCATCTAGATCTGTCCTGAACTAGACTGTGTAAACTGCAGTGGCTCTGATTGGTCTGTAGGGCAGAAACATAAAATCAGTGTGCAGCATCTACCTCATCAAGATTTCTAACTAATAAGAGAATACAAAGGAAATATGACTCAGGAGGCAGCACACTGGATTGTACAGTGAGGGGGGCAAAGCAGTGTGGACACAAGCTAACCCCCCCAGTTAATCCTGCTGCGTTTATATTCATTCCTAACTCCCATCTGTCTCTTACATGCTACATCACTCATGGAGTATAGCAGATCAGCCAGTTCAGCAGGCCTGGCCCCACTGTAGCCCGAGATGAAGAGGAGAGCTGACCTGAGACATGGGCTGTTCCCAGTGGCCTCCAGAAAGTCGCCCTGGGGTCTGGCCGGTGCACGCCTGTGAAATGCATTGGAGAATGCAGGGAAAAAAACACAAAGGAAGCACCAGCGGGGCATGAGAGAGGTCAACCTTATCATTAGCCAATGACATGTTTTGAAATGATGAGTGTCAGGGAGTGGGGCACAGCAGGGGCCAATCAGCTTTGAGCTGGGGCTTGTGTCCCTGTGGCCCCACCCCTTGTATACGCTCCTGGACAGTGGCAGATTGAAGTGTAACACTAAGTAGGTGTTGTGAGGTGTTATGGGGGAAGGCTTCTGGGACTCAGCGTGCTGGAGTTGCGGTGCTCGCTTGGAAATACGTGGCTGGACAGCCCAGCACAGCCAGCAAGTGAATGGAAATGCAAATGTGAATAGACAACAATGATATTATTAAATTACCTTCTTTTAAGGGCTAAAACAAATCCAGTGAAAAGTCATGGTTGTCCAGAGGTAAAAGTTCAACAAAGTGACTCACCCTCATTGGGCTGGACTGAGAATTTATGTGTGTAGGTGGGGAAGTCTCTGAGCACTGTGGAAAGCATTAAATGGCTTATTGTTGTATTACTATTAAATTTGTCCCAAGCAATACCAAAAATACCACAGTATACTGTATTATCATAATACCACCCAAGCCTACTTGGGATGTTAGTCCATCACAAGACACATATTTGCGTTAGGGGAAAGTTGGACACAGCAGCTGGAAACCAGAGTACCATCAGAAAGACCCACACAATCACTGGCAGAACAGGCAGACACACAGAACCAGGCCAAGGCTAAAACCTACAAAGCCACAGGTGGAACGCATTGCCCACTGAACCACCAAACTCCTCTAGTATTTTATGAATCATCTCAATAAAATGTTCTCCACCTACCTTGATCCAAATCAATCCTTTGTGCTCCCACTTGAGGCATACCTGAGAGAAAAGAGAAGCTTTTTAGTTATATGCTGAGATCTTTTTAAAACTGCGCTTATTCAACAGCCCCAGCATAACCAGCCAAAAAGAATTTGGGGAATGGAATACAGGAAATGATCTGTTTGGTAAAAGCTACATTTTGACAGATTTTTACAGATTTATACAGTTGGATCCTTTGCCCAGACCAGCAGTATACCAAGGACTTCGCCCTCCTGGGTTTAGACTCAGCATGTTTTTGTTTTCATAGCTGTTTTCTTAAGCATTACACCCCCTTGTGGCCACCTTTAGATTTTTCCAGTGAACCTCCCCATCCAAATTCCATGCTCACATCCGCTGCACCTAGTAGCTGCAGGGGCTACTGAGGTTGCCCCTTGAGCAGATTTAATGTGACGAAGATAAGAGGGATGGGCGCAAAGTCATCCTGCTTCAAAGTTTTATCATTGTAAAATGGCCGACTGTCTGTGACTGATGCTCAGTCATGCCTGTAAGCACACTGGTATTAGAGTAGCAATGCCAAACCGGATTAGATATACAGTGATCCCCATCTATCGCGGAAGATGCGTTCCAGACCCATCAGCAATAGATGAAAATCCGCGATATAGAAAGACCATATAAATAAAAAAAAAATTATAGTTTAAACCATAAAGTACCCCTCCCACATGCTTTAAACACATGTAAACAACACATATGATATGTGGATGTCGGGCTAAGGATATGAGTAACATAATAATAATAATAATATGTAATGCATTTGTATGTGATTCCATTTTATTCCGAGGAGCTGCCACCCTCTTTCCTGTTTGACTAAAGGAAAGTGATGCAGTCGCTCTTATATTCTTTTCATCCTTCTTGATGTAGCGTACCGTCGATTCATTCAAGCCATAATGGCGAGTGACGTCCGCGTAACGCTTTCCTTGCAGAAGCATATCCAGGAGTTCTACATTCTCCTGAATGGCACTGGCTGTTAGGCTCACTACTATCAGGAGGCTTATAACATGCAGGACGCTTGGGAGCCATCGTTGGGCTTAAAACAAAACTAAAACAATCGGCCCACAAGCAAGGTACGTGATACACAGAGAACTGTGATGCGTAGGGTGAATAATCCGCGATATAGCGGGGGCGCGATAGCTGAACCGCGATATAGCGAGGGATCACTGTAATGGCAACACTTTCTATGAATGCCATGTCTATAAGGATCTAAGAACACATTCATAACATATTATAATGCATTCATAAAGCATTATAAACATTACATAAACATAAATATTTATAAAAAGGCATAACACATTATCGACATGGTTATTATGCATTATACTATAGATACCTTCATAATGCAGTACAAAGCATCCTTAATCCTTTTACCAACCATTATAATGCATTATGCAGGTATCTATAGTGCATTGTACATAAGAGCTTCATTGGAGCTTATGAAGTATTTCTAATCAACACCATAATGCTTTATGACTGTCAATAGAAGATGCTGTAATGCTTTATTAATTCTTATACCGACCATTATAATGCATTATGAAGGTATCTATAATGCATTATAGATTACAGTGTGCCTCAGGGACAAAAATGTTATGTAGGTTTTGTTACCAATATAAAGATTCAAGCCATGTTACTTTAATTCAGCAATCCTCTAAAACAGTCTATCCCAAAGCTGCCTTTAACATGCCCCACTAATTCCACAGGCTCCTTCACACCAAGTTAAGCTAATTTTGCACCTAATTAAGATTAATCAGTTTAATTAGTTAGGATGACAATACATCCTCTTTTTCCCGGACTTTTTTTTTTTTTTTTTTTTTTTGGACCTAAAAATGCCTGAAATGTCTGGGATTTCACTGTTTCATGTTGACAGTTGTGTTGCTTTGACACATTTCTTTGTGTCCTGCCTCTTTTTTTTGCAAAGCAAAACCTAAATTAGTATCAAATGGCTAGCGGTGCTAAAAGATTGCTCCTTCAAAATAAGCTGCACATGCATTGTGTAAATGGAAGATCTGTACCCAGAACAGCATGTTGAGTAAGGCTGATCTTCTGGGCTTACCTGCGACCCTGTGTCTGTGGTCCATGAGACGGGGCTTGGAGGTTGGAGTGTTGGTTGAGGTTGGAGTGGTGCTGGATTCTGATGCAGTGCTGCTTAGCGCTGCTGATGTCCTCATTGGCTGGGCAGTGGTGAGCTGATGACCCTTTGATTGGTTCTTTAATACCTGAGCTGTAGGAAGGACAGTAACTCCCCTTTTTACCCTAAATGCTCAGCTCTTTAGCTTCTAATTATTCAGTAAAATCACGCTGACAGCACTGCAAATCCCCCTCCTCTGTTTACGCTATAAACTGTCCAGCTCTGACCATCTTAGAATCATAGTTTAAGCAAACCTTTCCTCAGGGACCCCCAGACAATACACGTTTTTGCTCCCTCCCAGCTCCCAGGAGACTGGGAAGGGGCAATAATGTGCACCATCTGGGGATCCTGAGGGCCGGCGTGAGAAACACTGCTTTAAGCCATATGATAGTAAGTGCACTTCATCTACTGAGCTTCTGAAGATGGGGCAAGGACTTGTGATTAATTAAAGTCCAAAGACATATTGTTAGTCTAACTGGCATTTTTAAGCTGTGTGTAGAGTGCAGTCGTGTGTTTCTGGTGAAGGGCTTCCATCCTGTTCAGAATGTGTCCCTGCCTCGTGCCCTTTGTCCCCAGGGACAGGCTCTAGGCCATCGTTCAGCATAACTGCTTAGCAGATAAGGGTGTGTGATTTGATGATATTACATGGTGAACGATTAAAATGTCTCCACAATCTGCCTTTATAGAGAGATCGTTAGCATCGTGCTACAGAGCACAATTTTATCATTTGCATTTCTTTGGCTCATACATGCATCTGAAGTTGTTTTGTCAGCCAAATCTGATTCTACAAACCAATAAACTGGTAATAAGTAACAGCGGGTAGCTCTTTGAATTTCTTCCTCTCTCTTCCTTTTGCACCCTCCTATCAACATGCAGTGCTCAACATGTAACACATTCACTCTTTGCATATCGGCATGGACGATGTGGAGGAGTCTCTAAAACGAATTCAGAATCGGTAATATGGAGCTTGTTTGGATTTTCCAAAACCTACACGGCACAAACACAAAGATGTGCTTCACACCTTTTCAACAACCTCAAAAGAAAACACCCACATGCTGAGTATATTTTTCTTTTAAGTTTTGTTACCTTATAGGGCTACATTTTTTAAAACAGGGGGATTGGTTTGGTTGTATTGTGCAGTAACTAGCAAAATAGACTTAGGAAGATGCAGGGATCTATGTTTCACAGATTAAAGAATCAGTATATTAGTGACCACAGTTGCAATCTATTTGCTCACCACTCACCTGTTTTGACTGCTGTGGAATGTGCTGAAATGTAGTGTAGAGTATGTGGATAGAGGACACCTTTCTTTGACTTCCCTGCTACGAAAAACATCAACAGATGCAACATTGGATCATTGCTTCAGCTCTAATAGAAACACAATAAAACAAGAAGTTTCTCCTTAAAGTAAAAGTGAGCAATATAATGGTGATAAAAACATACCGTGTAGCTGTTACTTAAGACATGTTTGGCCACCATGTTCAACTATGACAGCATGTAATATATGGCACAAGCTGTGTTCCTATTTCTTAGCCATTATATGGCACACAGTGCTGATGGAGGACTGACCCGTTATGGTAAAGGACTCCCTCCACTTTGGAAGGGATAATGATCGCACGCCGTTGGAGAAGCTGCCCTTGTAGAAGTCCTGCCCCACCATCTTCCTCACAATCACCTTCCCCCCGGCGTCAGTAATGATCCCACTGTAAACCAGAGCACAGGTTCCACTGGCAGAACTTAAGAGAGACTCGTAAAGGCCTACAGTGAGCGACCCATTCCAAAAATGAAATCCAGAGTCAGTGATCACACAGAGATAAAAATGAGCAATAGACTCAAACTTCCAAAAGGAGGACATGACATCATTCCTGCAAAAAACTTACAAACAACGGTGTACCTGCTTAGCGCAGCATTTTGTGCGAAGCATGAACAGGTTAAAAATGTGAGCGGTAAACGGTAATCCAGATGCTGCGAGATAAAGGGGTCACTGAAGTCTCCTCTCACCCATGGATGGCCGCGTTGCAGACGCTGGAGATGGAAGCGTAGACGTCCGTGCCATACACCGGCTGCTTGGTTTGCGTGCAGTTTGCGGGACACCTGGCGATGAATTCTGTGTGGCTGATCTTCCCGGCCCGTATGTCGCACGCCAACGAAGGCACGGCTGTGTGCAGAAATGAGGAATGCCAGTCAGGGCTGGGCACACAGGCAGATCAGCACATGCTATCCGTTCCGGAATGTTCATCACCCCGAATGGAAAGCAGCTTCATGCTGGCTGCGTTAACCTCTGTGTACCTCGATCTGGCCTCTTGCTTTTCTGATGGCTATGCTTTGTCTCGCTGTGGCACGAGAGGAACACAGCTGCAAGAAAAGAGTGAATCATGAAGTCCACTGGACTGAGGAGCACCCTGTTACACAATATAACTTGGTGTACATCTACGGAATGTCTGTAAACCCACTGAAAATATATTATTTTGAAGAAAAAAAAACACCGTCAATCTGTCACATATCCAAATCAAATACTGTCACCATCACCACAGTTCCCTCTGAGCTTCTATTTCACTTTCGTATGTTATCCTGAACAGTGTGCCCCACTGGTGTAGCCCAATAAACAGGGCTGGGTTAAAAAGAGCGATTTCCCGATTCAAATCATTTTTCATTTGTATAATCCGACATCATTCCTAAAATTCAGAGATCAATTTTTTATATGCCTTCTATGCCATATATTAGTCTATGGCCATTTCCCATGTATATGTGAAGCTTTAACACTGGCAAACAAAACCCCATAAGAAAAACAGAGTGGGAGCATCTCCACTGAAGGTCGGGCTGCAGGATATCACATCGTGATTATCTGCAATAGGTGCACTTCATATTGCGCTATAGAAAAAACAAAAAAGACTTTTTACCCAAAATAAACTATAGCCAAAAAACTTATCTACCAATGGAGTGTGTCAAACAGTTGGCGGAGTTACTGCAAGTTGTGTCAGCAGACACAAATCAGTACTGACAAATGCGATGTGATTACAGGGGTTTAGATAACGGGCATAAAAATTTGTCCGGACACCAGCTTTTCAACACCGTACGGACATTTACTTACATTCACAATTTGATAATCAGATTAGTAGTACGTCTGAAATACTAAAGAGGTGTTTATTGTGACGCCCAAAAGTTACTTATCGGTATAACATTGGAGTATCCTTTTGCTTAATAAACATGTTGGACTTTAAACTGGAAAAAGTCCCGCCACACCTCCAGCATCTTTTTATCTTATTTAAACACAATATCTCCTCTTTTAAAAGCTGCTGATCTGTCCCTGTCTTTGCTGCCACTTCAGTGCTTATTGCTTCCATGTTATACCAATAACACATAGTTAGTATGCAGCGTGCTCTGCTGATCAAATTTAACAGACATTAGGATACGCCAACATCGATAATGATTAATAAACATCCATTAGCATTGGCATCTCTGCTTTCAGTTCCACGACTGATTGGGGTGGGCATGCTGTGCTTTAATGTTAACACCATTAGCATTAGCACTCCTCCATAGCAGGGTTGCCAACTTTCATCAGCTGGCTGAGGTGCGATTTTCAATTCACACAAGTCTGCACACTCATATACACGCATTTACATGTATGTAATAGTTTTAATACTTTGTAATTTTGATTTTTATTACCTAGTAATTTTGTTAATTTTGATGTAGCTAATTTTAGGATTATAATGGAACAATATAGGTTTGCTGTAAGATTTCTTGTGTGAGAGTGAGATTCTGAAAGCGTGAGTGTCACACCTGACGCGTTAGTGTTGGCAGCCCTGCCATAGTGAGATGGTGAACATCCCCGGGGCTGGGAGGGCACAGGCCGAAACATACCCACAAAAAGTGAAGTGGGCACCAGGCCGCGCATGATGAGAATCCTGGGCCAGCAGCTCCCCGAACCCCCAGCACAAGGCCTTTTTGGCTTTGGGAGCTGAGAGGAGAGAAACAAGCTTTTAAGGGAATAATGACATAAATTACAAATTCAGGACATTTCAGCATGATGCTGGAAAGACACCTGCTGGCAGGTGTGGTGACGTCTCACCTTCTGTGACAGACAGATTACCCTTTCAGTCAGACGCCCAAGAGCTATAAAGTGGTTTGGGCTGTCAAAACATGCACTTTGTTTGTTTTACGATTATGTAAATGCCCTTGGCGAAAAAAGTTATTCTGATTTTTTTACAGTTTATATTTAATAACATGCACCAGAATGTTGCTTCAAAATGGTAGAAAAATCCAGACCGCAGTGAGGCCCCCTCTCACCCAGCCTGCTCTTTCCCGATGCCCTGTGGCCTTCCTCCACTCAGCCCCTGGTAAAGCCTCAAACCATCGTATGCATTTAATCACTCATTTTAATTAAAGTCTTTTGTAGTTCAACTATGTTTTTGTTCTACTGTCACATAAGACCAGAAGGCATTCTTAATTTTTTCTGACAGCACCTCCAAGGTTTAGATCAACGAACCATCGAACGTGACCCATTAGGGGTGGCAGGCTGCTTTTTGTGCCCTGTGGGTATGTGATTACAGCTGGTTCCTGTAGGGGTCAGCCTCAACCCAGTACTGCTGTAATGCAAGCAGGCATTACTTTAGGGCTTGTCTCTTCATGGGAAACATCCATGCGCATTTGTGAGAACTACGAGTTTTGAAGAGACCTAAATGCATTACCCATAACTGCCTATGGGGGGCCTAGAGTAGGGCAGTCACAAGTAGGGCGGGGCAAGAGGCAGAGACACTGGATGGAATGCCAGTCCATCAGAGGGCACACAGTTGCACACTATCGGCAATTTAAAGACACCAATTTTTGGTCTGCCATTTGCTCCATCCACACAGAGCAGGGGGAAGGGATTTAACCACAATCCTTTTTTTTTTTTATTATTTAAAGGACCTTCATCCTCAATATAAAGGCTACAAAGCACTTAAAAGCACTCTGATGCTCACCTGAGTCTGATTTCCATGACCAGAAACCTCACCTTATTGTGGTTTTCCCGATGTTCGTACCAAATGCCCATCTTGGGTTTCCATTGCTCTCTGCAGCTTTTGTGAAACCCATCTCCAAATGGCATAATATAACATCCAAATAAAATACTTATTCCTGTGTAGTTCTGTCTGCCAGCCTACCCATAACAACTCGTACACAGACCTGTTAGCCAAACAATAAGGGCTTCCAGGTCACATGACACATATAGAGCTGTATTATTCGTTAACAGTTCCCATCTTGTGTCACCTCCTTTGCACTTACCTATTTCTTAATTTTCCTTATTTTTCTTGCATCAAGCTACTTCACCTAAAAGTGAGAATTAGAGCCCAGCATTAGGAAGAGCAATATGCAGCAGGAACCAGCACAGCCAGGCAAGCTTATCTGAAGAGCTGGGAGGCTGACAGACAGCAGATATGACATTTCCATTCACCTAATGGGCCATGAATGAGCGTGTGTGTGTATGGCTGTGCTGCCTGGGACAGCCCCCGACCCCGGCCCCCAGGACCCCGTACTGGATACATGGCTGAAAGGCTGATAAATTATATTATCAAACTGTACAATGGTGGATGAGGGGGAAGCAGATGGAGGGGCAAAATTAGTTCTAAAACTTAATCATTGTTGTGTCAAGGTCACCTAATTACTTGAAAATTATTTTACTTAAAATTTCACACCCAATTGTTCATATACAGAATGCAACAAGACCTTCAGTACACAACCAATGCTCATTTCTTGGCTGGAAAAAAAAAATCATTAATGAAAATAAAAGGTAAATGAACAACTAAGGGCTGGTTTACATTGACGCTCGCAACGGCATCCGCAGCTAATAAAGACACAATGTCCTTTGAGAGGCTCCAAAACGCAGGCTGTCGAAAGTAGGTATGATAAATGACCATGGATGCATGAGGACCGAAGGCTGGAAGGAAGGTTTCCTAAAATGACGGTGAGCAAGAGGACAACAGGGCAAAGTCAGAGTCTGGAGAAGTCTCACTCTAGTTCATTATAAACATGCGAGAATATGTGTGTGTGTGTGTGTGTGTGTGTGTGTGTGTGTGTGTGTACTCTTTAAAGCTGTCTGTGCTTTAAAATGATATTTTAAGTTAGACTATTTATTTATCGTCTTTGAGTTCTTTTTTGGAACTCGAAGACCAAGCCCAGTAATTCAATTTAAGAAGTTTGGTAGCACTTTACTTGAGGGGCTACTACACTGTAATTTAATCTATGAATTAACTAGAAATTAAGTGTTAGTTACGTAGTGATTCTATGTTCGTTCATCATTAATCAAACATAACGGTTCATGTATTTCATGCAGGAACTATATTAGTCCATGATTTATTCTTCAGTCGTATTCGAGTTACTAAGTTACTTGTGCCCCCTCAAGTAAAGTGTTACCAAACGTTCTGTTGATTCATAAATTAAAAAAAAAATACTCAGAAGCGATCTTTCCGTTTCAGCTCTCTGCTGTTTCCCTGTTAGAATAGCCCTCTGTAGCGCACTCTCCAGAAAGGCCATAAAACACCGACGCTGTTCTCATGCAAGCATTTCATTCAGCCCATTAAGTGATTTTTAGTCTGTGCCAGTTGCAGTTAACGGGCATGTAACACGGGACCAAACTGTTGATGTTGAATAATCAGTCAAATTAATAAAAATGATATGTAGCCCACACTTTATCAATGTGCAACAATTGAACAAAGATGAAAACGCTAATTACTTTTGCAGTCTTCTATTTTTGACTGAATACCCGGCAAGATAAATTTTAACGAGAGACAGCTGCGTTTACATAGAAAACGTAAAAGCTCGGTTACGCCAGAATTGTCGCATAAGGAATGAGTAATAAGTTACAGTGTACAGAATGCTTGATATATGTGTCAAACGCTGAAAATCTTAGAAGAAAGGCGTAATGTCGACTTACTTTCAGAGATGAAATATCTGTGTCCAGAAATCCAGAGACATCAAAACACCCGGAAAAAAAGAAGAAAAAAAAAACCTTGGTGGTCGGCGCTCTCTACATACGGCGCGCGGTGAGTCCGCAAAGCATCCCGTCCACGTGCGCTCCGCAGGAAGGGGCCCCGCACGAAGGGGCGCGCGCCGCCGCAAGCTTACGCCCTACCCTCAGGCTCCAGACGACAGCTCCTTTATTGCAATTTAATGGTTGCTATTCATTAACCATCCATACATCCATCCTCCAATCACTTATCCTGCAATATTCAATTTAATTCAAAAATGCATTATTTGTCCATAGAAGCGCAATTCAAGCCAAGTAGGTAAGCAATAAAAATACACAAAATTTTCATCAACACGCTCGCTAATATATTAACAACCTGAAACAACCTACTGACTAGCCTATATACTAAAAATACTAAGACAATCTAAAATAATCTCATGAAATACTGGCAATATACATACATGCATACACAAGCATGTCACATTAAGATTAGTATAAATGCATATGTTACACATGCTACACAGTATGGTAATGGTTATTTTTGGTATGGTAATGTTTTTAAAACATTTTTAAACTGTTTTTTAAACAGTCAAGTAGCAAATTATGAAAAAATATATGCAGTGACATTTATACGACTCTACCTCAGAGAAAAGTTTTCCTCTCAAAAAACTAACTAGCAAACTAATGTGTAAATAAAATGTTCCACTCTTCCTCTTCACTTTTTAATGACTGCTTGGATAATGTTTGCATTGGATTCCATTGTGGAGGAGGGAGAGTCATTGTCCTTGTCTGAGGACCTGTTCAAGGTCTTTTAACTAAACAAATGTAAATGTACATGTAGTACATCAGTAACTTTAATGTGCTGCACACATTTAAGAAATAACACTGCAGAAAAATATCCATATCACATGCAAAAATGGTGAACATTAGATTTTTATTTAAGCGACAGCAACTGAAGTAGTATTTAGCGTAAATAAAAACATACATTAAAAATGTAAACTTTTTTTTAGAGTTGTGTACATTGAAAAGTGATTCGGGACACTGGTATGTTGGAATGAAGGAGTCGTTTTGGTTAACAAGCAGAGGAGCCTACGGTTAGATTCTCACACCTGAGTCTGGCCTCTGGGAAGGCTTAGGGCATTTTGCCAATGTGCACCTCATTCCTGGCATGTGGAGGGGGGGCTTGGGGGGAGCCAGGTCAGGATCGACACCGAGCTGCCCTTGCTCTCACGCACACACAACATCAACGCCCCAACGTCCCTCTGGAACCTGGAACTCAGGCCAAAGTAGATGAGTGGGTTGTAGAAGCTGGCCAATTTGGTGAAGAGCCGGGAGATGATGCTGGTCATGTTGGGTACGTGCAATCCCCAGGCTGACCACATGGAGACGACACCGTAGGGTGACCATGCCAGGAGGAAAGATGTACAGATGATGGTGGAGACCTGCAGCAGACCACAATGTTCAAACAACACTGTGATGGTGTTCTCTCAATTGCTCAGCTGTCCAACCTTGTGAAGCACACTGCATACCAACTATTATTAAGGTTTATTGAGCAAAATTTTGTTATGGTAGCTTGAAAAGAAGTCATCTCCATTGTGATGAGATCATTATTTATGGCTGCCCACCTCATGTTGCTGAAGTATGGACCTTATAATTTGCTGGTCATATTTGCAAGGGTAAATACTGCCCTTGGAAGTTCTAATAAGTCTGCTGTGAGTGGTTTCTGGCAAGCCTTCTTGCCATGAATCTTTCCAGTTATTTTAGTGCACAACCCTGGCCTTGTACCTACTCTTTTCATTAACTGAAAGGAGAGCAACAAAGAAAAGTGAAAAGAAAAATTCTTATTGTCGTAGATGGCAAAAGGAATATTTCTGTAAGCAACGTTTTCTGTATGTTTTCAAAGAGGGTTTTGTTGAGGTGTCAGCTGCACAGGTATTCATAAGATGTGCGTGTATTCTCTGTCGAAAACATAAACAGAACTATCAATAGATCAGCCAGCACATCTTGTAATATCTTGCACCATTTATTCCTCCATAAGATCTGAACCTGGCTGCTTGACACTCACTATTGTAACGTCCCTCCCTGTCTTCCACTGCCTGTCTGTCAGGGCACCCTGCGTGGCCCAGTGTCACATTGCTTTTCTTCAGTGTTGATAATAGCAGAAGATCATCACCCCCACAGGCAGAAAGAAGCAGAATATGAAAATGGACACAATGTAGGACTTGTTGCTTGCGGAGAAGTTAGCTTCTGCCCAGTCTGCTTCACTGGTCTCAAACCCGCGACCTGAGGGAAAATGGAAATGGCACTACCATGCGTTACCCATGTATAGCATTTACAGCAGATTGAATATTCCAAACAATACTGATATCTTTCTTTGTGATCTTTTTTTCTTGCTGCAAAAGGGCAATATTCAGCTTTAGGCTTAGGTTTGGGTATATTGCTAAGATCCTGACAATATCCTATGCAGGATATTGATGTGGAGATGGGATAAATATTGTTTAATACAGTGTAGCTTTCCTTACATGAGTAAAATCCATTGTGTCTTGTACTTCCCAATGACCATGTGTCAAGTCTGCAGGAGGCCAGATATACGGCAACAATGATTGACACATTCTGAGGGGCTTCCCTCCAGTTCTTCTTTGGCTAAATTGAAGAGTCAGTAAATTGAAGGGACAGTGAGAAACGTAATTTCGATTCCTTTGTATGTCTAGTACATGTGAAGAAATTGACAATAAAGCTGACTTTGACTTTGAGTCGTTTATGCTTTAGCAGCAGCTATATCATGTGTGTGTGAACCAGCCAGCCAGGTTCACCAACTATTAAACAGTTAATTATATGCTCTTGAAACAATCCTCAAGATCTGAATGGTTCTCCTGGACTTACTATTCAGTCTGGAGGGACAAAATCACAGAGTGGTTGAAGATTTGTTACATTTTGGGAAACGACTGGGATGCTGGAAGGTCGGTGAGGACATGCATTCTCTTAATTTTTATGAGTCAGATGGTTCTTGATTTGTATGGATAATGCTGTTGTTAAATCTTTGGAAGGATCTTGAGAACACCCCAAGACAGAGATGAACTGAAATGGATTAAACTGATTATTCTGTCCCATAATCCTACTACTATTATGTGTTGCAACAAAAGTAAGGTAATGAGGCAGCTTGCTGTTCATGCTGAAGATTTTAGATCTACTTGTATTGCATGTTTGCAGTTTATATGTATACTTTTTATATAATTACGCATGTCATATTTCATACTGTATGTAATTACAGTAGGAAAAACACAGTTTAAACTTTTACTTAAAACTACTCTATAAACTATTAATATTCACACTAGTTTGTTCATAGGGGTTTTTATGACATATTATCAGGGTAAGAGCTAAGATCTCCAAGTGTAATGAAAGCCCCATGGCAAAGTGAGATGGTACCTTTCAGAATGTGACAATACATGACCGACAGGAAATGACATCACGGTATGTGGTGATGAGTGGTGAGCCTGGGGATGGAAACCTATCCCCACGTCAGTCCCACAAGCACACCTGAGATGTCTCCCCTAGCATGGGCCTGTTAGCACCAGGTGACAGTGCTTCCTCTTGGCCAGCGTAAGAGGACACAGCTGAAGGTCTACAGGTAATGCTGGGATGAAACACTCCAATAACACGAGTAGTGTCTGCAGTGGTGAAATGAATCTGAGTAACCTGGATAGTCATTGGAGTTTGGAGCTGAATCTTAAACTGATGTGTCTCTCCTGTGAAGAAAAATATCCTATCATATATTTTACATATTTACTTGGTGACATTTGGACAGCTAATTGAATCTATGTAGTTAACATTTCTGGGAGGGTTGAGCAGCCAGTTTACCTCAGCAATCCAGAGCAATTTTTCACCTTCTAGTCCTGGGAATGATGTTAAACTGCATCTGGCCTTGCAAAGGGGTCCTCCAGCTTGCAGGGAAGGAATTTTGGAGCTGGTGGTGGGATTGGCACTCGGCCTACAGGACACTTTTCTGCTCTCCGCAGGAGTAGCTCTGTTGCAGCCATCCACAGGAAGACTGCATGCATTGTGAAGGGGATGGGGAAAGCCCACAGGAGCCAGTAACTGAAAAGGACTTTGCATACTGGGCTTTCCTATAACGTTTAGCCCCCTAGCAGAGATATTGCAATGTTTTGCTACTCATCCTTCTGGCTGTCAACACAACCTGAAATGAACACAACAGGGATCTCTTGTATCTGGGGTGAACTTCTACAGGCTGATGGTAAGGCTGTCGTCCTGGTATCGCGAGCAATCTTTGCTTCCATTTCGGAGAAAGATGTCATCCCAACTGACTGGAAAACGGGACTTGTTGTCCGTATCTGGAAAGGGAAGGGTGATCGCCTGGATTGCGGCAATTCCAGGGGGATAACACTGCTCTCAGTGCCGGGTAAGGTCCTTGCTAGGGTCCAACAGGATCCCTGATCACTTGCTTGTGTAACAGCGATTTGAGCAGTCTACCATCGACCACATCCTGGCACTGACGGTTCCCATCGAGCATGAATATCAGCAGATTTTCTTTGTAGCCTTTGTTGATTTTTGTAAATCATTTGATGTTGACCGAGCTGCCCTGTGGGACATCCTGAGACTTTGCGGGATCCCCCCCCCCCCCGAAGTTACCGGACATCATGGCCTGTACACTGGTACTGTGAGTGCTGTGCAGAGTGGAGGGAGAACCTCTGCGTTCTTCCCAGTTGATTCTGGGGTTCACCAGGGGTGTGTTCTTGTTCCTACTCTGTTTAATGTTTGTATGGACTGGGTGTAAGGTAGGGTTTTGGGGTCCAGCGGCTGTGGGGCGTCTGTTGGTGAAGAAATATTCACTGATCTTAACTTTGCCAATGATGCTGTGATTTTTGTGGAGTCAGCGGACGCTCTGATCAGGCTGCTCGAGAGACAGAGTGAGGAATCTGAGTGTCTGGGTTTGTGAGTGTCCTGGATAAAAATCAAGATACAGGAAGCAAGGCAACACAGCTGAACTCAATGAAGAGCTAATGAGTGGAACAGGGACAGACTGTCAGGGTCAGCCCCGGTTGAGCCGCCCAGATCCATGACACAGGCACTTAAATACATACACAACGAGGAGAGACAAGAGACAGGTGTGGGCATTTAACAAGCACTCATAACAAGAGAACAGGTGAGGGCAATCAACAGATGAAGGATCAAACACCAGCAGAGACTAAAACAAGAAAGATAAATCAATACTACAAATGGGGAATAATGGAGCAAAGACAAGCAACTGTAACAGAAATATACAAATACATAATAAGCAAAGAGAATACAAAGAAACAAACATGCTGAATTATGAGTAGTTGAGGCAGGCCCCTGGGCAGTCTCAAACCCACCACAGAGGAGGATGGCTGGATAACAGCCACTTGCTCAGCCTATTAAGCCATGTGATGGCCCAGAGAGCAGGCAGAAGTTCTTCTAGTAAGTAGTAGTAAATTTATCTGGTTTAAAATTTTAAATAAAAATAATAATTAAGTTTCGTTTTAACACAAGTATCTTATTTTAGTGTACTCGGCACGTTACTGCATTTATCGTTACGCAAATTAATCTTTATAGTTAAATACACTATATAAATTTACAAGGCTGGGAGTACGGGGCCATAGTGAGTTAGTTAATTATGGGGCCGGCTCAGTGTTGCATTTGCAAGATGTTTGCCCTTCTGGACGTTAGTGTCCAGTCGGACTTCATCTGCGAGCGATGTAAGCTAGTGGACTCACTCAAGGTCAAGGTTCGCGACCTTGAGGAGCAACTGGCTCTCATCCGATGCAACAGTGAGTTAGATGAGCTAGTTGATACGCCGTTTAGGGAGATGGTGTGTACGCCACTAGCGGGGGGGAGGGAGAATGAAGAGCAGAGAAGTCAAGAGAGCTGGGTGACCGTAGGTCGTAGACGCAGGAAAAGGCGTACACACGTTACAGAGGCGGCATCACCTGAGGTGTCTGTGTCTAA